GTGGGGTCCAGGGGGAGGGATGTTTCCACAGCAACCTCCTCCATGATCTAAAGCAGCCCCCACAGCTGAAGCTCTGCCCACTTTGCCCCCTTCAGTGCTGCCAAGACACTCAGAAATGTGTTCTGGCCACTCGCTGGGGTCTGAATCCCTAGAAAAACAGTAAGCCAAGCAAGAGAGCCCTGTGTAAGTTGGTCAGGTTCAAGGGCGAGGGTTCAGCCCCAGGATGGGTCAGGGACAACGGGAATGGAGGTAAGGAGGTGTAAGGTCAAGGGAAGGATGAGGAGCAGTGGGCAGCAAGAGAGACCTGATCCGGAGGTTTGGGCAGAGGAAAGGCAGGTGCTGGGAGTGTGTCCCAGGTGTCAGGGGTCTGGCAGGGAGGCGGGGGTGGCTCCTCCCTGCAGAGGTCAGCCACCTGAGGAATGGGACCGTTCCTGTCCGACCTGATGGGGCAGAGCAAGGAGCGCTCATGAGAGGCGGGTGCCGCTGTCTGGAGGCTGTCAGTCTGCCCCGTGGCACACACCCTCCCGGCCAGCTGGGAGGCGGCAAGTTCTTCACTGGGCCAGGGGGAAATTTTCCAGAAGCCCAGGTTACCTACTGCCAAGTTTCAGCATCACAGGGAAACACGTTTCTGTGTGTCAGGCACCAGGAATTTCCTGTTTGGGACCCGCCTCCTTCAGAGCTCGCGTGCCCAGGGCACTGATTATATCACAATGGAAACACTACTAGTAATAACCACCGCACTGGTCAAATGTGCATTTTTTTTGGTGCCAGGAACTGCACTAGGCTCTTTCCATCCATCCATTCATGCATCCATCCCTGACCCCCAACCCTACAGCAACCTTGAGGAAGGCACAGACCCTGCTTTCATGGGTGAGAAAATGGAGCTGGGGCTCCATTTACTGGGGCTCGTAGAGTGAGTGGCTTAACTAAGGTCACCTGGCTAGTGACACTGGCCCCCTCTCCTGGGCATTACTGTGGCATTGTTGTGGCAGCCCCTCAGGCTATACCCCCAAAATCTGACCACCATCCCACCTCACCCCCACCCCCAAGGAAGCAGGGTGACGGGCTGCTGCTCAGGCTGGATGTGAAATGTGGGCTGTGACCCAGGAGGAAGGGGTGGGGCACACTGGCTTCAGTGGACACAGAGGCCAAGGGCGGCCGCCGTCCTCTCGCTCACCACTCCGAGAGCCCAGCACAGGAAGAAAGCTCAGACACAGGCTGGAGGTTCTGAGACGTGTCTGACCTCCCTGAAGACCATCCACGAGTGCAGGTTCCTGGACACAGGGATTTACCGTAGATCTGAGCGGGGATGTCCAGAAGCGCGCCTGTGATGGAGGCCCGGGGGGCCGCGATGCAGAGCCAGGCCTGGGAGCCTGGGGCTGGTCCCACCCCTTCACTCAGCAGCCAAGAGAACTAGATCTCAGATGGGGGCAGGTGTCCTGCCTGCAGTCATACAGGGAGGGAGTGGCAGAGTGGACATTCGAGCCAGTGGGCCGGGCTGCTGCCCTTGGACTATGTCTCCTGGGAGAAGAAAGCCAACCAGAAAGGTGACCAAATCTTTGGAGCTCAGAACAGATGGAAAAGTCACAAGCCAAAAGATGGATGTGCTATATAAATATTTGAAATTTCTAAAAAATTCACCTCCAAAAAAGTAAAAATCCATTAACGATAAAAAGTATAGCATAGTGGAAGCAATACTTGCAGCAAGTAAGAGGAAGAGTCAGTACCTGTAACATCTATCTCTCCTCTCCATCCATCCATCCACTTCATTCAAGTTAATTAAAAAATCATCAAGGCTTTAATTGTCTAAAGAGTTTAAATGTGCACACAATGCAATTATTTATAAACAAATATTTAATTGAGAATGCTTAATCTGGTTGGTGCACTTTAAAATGTAAATTAAAACAAGGTACCATTTATACATTAGACTTTTTCTAAACTCAACTTTTACATGTGTACCTGTGTGTACACTGCAGAAAAGGCCTGGGAAGGATACATACAGTGGCGGAGCTGTCTGATTGCCTCAATATCTCTTCTCCCCGCTTTCAATGAACCATCCCTTCTACTGTGGGAGATTGGCGTGGGGGAAAGCAGCAACGTGCTCAGTTTAAAACTACACTTCCCAGCCTCCCCTATGGAAAAAGGTGGCCAATTAGAAGCAAGGTGATGTCAAGGGGCAGGGGGACTTTGGAGGAAGCTCTTTAGGTGGGGCTGATTTACTGGGGAAAAACCTGCTGTTGCCCCTCCAGCCTTTCTCCTTCCTACTGCCTGGAATGCAGACATGATGGTTGGACCCCCAGGGACCTCGTTAGCCCAGAAGGAGACCTCAGGGATGGAAGCTGTAAACTAAGGATGTGGAACATAAAGATTGGAAGTCTGGGTTCTTCTTGACCAATGAGCACAGGACCACCCTGCTAAAGCACCTAAAATGCTTTGCCCAGACTTCTGTGTGGGACAAATGTAAATTTATTTGTTTAAACCTATGTTACTTTGATTTCGTCAGAGGCAGTGAAGCCTAAACTTAGCTGACACCTCAAACCTCTGAGGAAGTGGAACTCTTCTTTCACTTTCCTTCCTATGCTGTGGTATTGCCTACATGTATTTTCAGTACTTTTTACAATAAGAATGTATTGGGGTATTATTTGTAGGAGCCTCTGTTTTGGAGCCCCAGAGAACTCAAGGTGAGTGCCAGCCCCACCACTTCCTAGCTACGTGACCTTGAGCCATCATTTTCTCTGAGCCTGTTTTTGTCATCTGCAAAATGGGCGTGATAATAATAGAACCGATGTCATTGGGTTGTTGTGGAGCTTACTTGAGCTAATGCAGACAGCACTCTGGGTACGTGCCTGGCCTACAGCAATTACTGTTTGTGCTACAATATGCTGGCCCATGGGCGCCGGTGGTGGCAGAACCAATTAGAGAAGCCCAGGGCGTGTTGTTGAATGGAGGGGGGGGAAAAACCCCAACCAGGTTGCAAAACTGGAACATAAGTATGATCCCTTTTGTGAAAAATTATTTTTATTTCTACATCTATATGTATATTTATGCATCAAGAGATGTCTGGAGGAATGGTTATCCAAATGTTAGTAATGGTAATTTCCAGGTAGGGGAATCTTTCTCTTTTCTAGATATAGTTGTAAAAGAGAAAAACACATTATAATTTTTGAGCAGGAAAATAAAAAAAAAAGAAAAACCCTTTGTTACACAATATTACAAGTCACACCCAGAATGATGAAAGCATTCATGCCCTTTGACCCCGCTATCTCACTCTGGGGAACCAATCTGAGGAAATAGCTCCAGTGAAGGAAGATGCTATAGCCATAAAAACAGGCACTGCAGCATTATTTATAATAGAGGAAAATGGGGACCCACTTAAGCGACTTACATTAGGGTAATAATCATTAAATTACTCACTCATTGGAACACTGTGCAACGATTTAAATGAGAAAGATGATGGCCATGTAACAACCTGGAAAATCGTTTACGGCAGGAGGAGAGGCAGAGTGGGCAGAACGCAGAACGAGCTCTGTGCCAGGAGCACTAATGGGCAAAGACCCTGCACGCATTTGGACGAGGACTGGGAGGGAACACGAGCAGAGGAAAACAGTTGAATTTGTAGGGGACACCGATTGTGAGTGATTTTCTTTTCATTTAGAATTCTAATGTTTCTGTAATGTTGTTTGTGCAATAAAAAGAAATTGGCTTAAAAAATCTCCGCAAGGAAAAGAAGGGGGAGCAGGGAGAGAAAAATAGAAGGGAGATCTGGGACCCTGCCAGAAGGGGGGGGTCTGGGTGAGAGAGATTCAGAGGCAACACACCAGCAAATACTTCGAGTCCAGTCTTCTACGTGGTGGCCGCAGAGTTTGCATCCCCTTTGCTCTCTGACTTGAGGGATCGGATGGACAAAATAATTGCCAAAGTTAGGGAAGCCGTGTGTTAGCTCATGATGAAGCTAGGAGTGCTCTTCCGGTTGCAATCTCTTGGAAAAATGGATTGTGCTTGCTACTGACAAAAGTTTTAGAGAATCAAGAACACTAGCAAGCTAGCAAGAGGGTGAGCTACTTCCTGGAGGGCAGTTTGCTATTGCGCACCCAACCAAAGGGGGTGTGTGTCCTTAATCAGCAACCCCCACTTCTTGGGATTTATCCTGAACCTAAGGAGGTGCTTGAGCCACTGCATAAAAATATTTACATATGGTGTTCATCACAGAGTTTGTAAAAATAAAAAAAATTAAACCCTGTTTCACCAAGAAGGAATTGGTAAATTTTGCCATAACCATGCCGTGGTACCTTATGAAGCTACACTAAAAAAATGGTATTTAGGTGGGGGGAGGGGAGTGCAAGGGAACTAAAAGGTAATGTAAAAATAAATTACAGTGAAAAAAATTAAAATAAAATAAAAATAGGATGTAGAGATAAATTTGACATGAAAGGATGCCCACCACATATTATCTAGAACAAGAAGGCCCCAAAGAAAGATGTGTATTAACCTCATTTTTGTGAGACCGTATAGCTAAATATGTTCATTTGCACATAAGAATTTTTGCTCATCCACCAGAATCTTAACAGTGGTTAATCTTTGAATGGTGGGATTACAAATTGTATCAGTCAGTTTAGCCTCAGTTATGCTGCAATAACAAAGACCCTCGGAATCTACTGGTTTACAACAGTGAATGTGAAGGTCTCACCCCTGCTCGTGGCTCTCTGGTTGACTGCCCCTCTGCCCAGCATCTTTACTCTAGGACCCAGGCTGACCATATCTGAACATCGCAGTCTCTGTGGCATAGAGAGAAGACGGTGGACCCCTTACTGGCTCTCACAGGCAGTGCACACAAGTGAGTCTCTTGGTCCTTCCCAGATTCAACAAGGCCCCCACAGGCCCTCAGGAAGGAGCCCTGGAGGAAGGGTGCTAAGCATTTTGAACGATAATACAATCTACTACACAAATCATCCTTGTCTTAGTCCGTTTGCACTGCTGTAACAAAAATACCATAGACTGGGTGGCTTAAACAACAAACATTTATTTCTCGCAGTTCTAGAGCCTAGGAAGTACAAGAGCAAGGTGCCGAGAGATTCGGTGTTTTCACTCTGTGTCCTCACATGAGGTGAGGGACCTCTCTGAGGTCTTTTTTAAAAAGGGCACTAATCCCATTCATGAAGGCTCCATCCTCATGACCTAATCACTGGCCAAAGCTCCACCTCCCAGTACATCAGCTTGGGGGGAAGGTTTCCACCTACGAATTCTGGGGAGCACAAACATTCGGTCTACAGCAACTTTATTAAGTCCTTCTCTTCGCAGAATGCAGTTCTGTCCCAGGAAGTGGATGGTCTCACAGAGATGGGACACAGGGGTTTCCCTGCTCGAGCCTCTTCAGGAGAGAAAACACAGGCGCCGAGTCTGAGCTGCCCAGCACCAGGCCGAAATGGCAGCTTCAAGCCTGAGGCATAGGCAACAGAGAGAGGATTTTGCCTGGTTTTAGAGAGAGGTCAAGTCCACCTGAACCCACAGTGAGTATAATGGTGTAACAGAAAGGTCTGGATGCCAAGAACTTGAGTCAAGTTAGAGCCCCTTTGAATGTAGAATGAACATTACAATTGCTGTCCTGCCTACTGCACGTGGCTTGGCAGGGGGTGGGGGGGTGCTCAATCTTGGCTCTAGAATTGTTAGTGCTCTTGCAGGAGGAAGGTTTGCTCCTTCAAGCTGTGACCACGCACTCGGTGTATTACATTTTCCCAATTCCTCTCATCACCGGAGTAGCTCGAGTCCCCTCTTTTAATTGTGTTCCTGAGCGTTTTAGTAGGACAGGTGAAAGACAACAACTGAAGTCTCAGTACGTAGGATCCTTTGGAGGATGAGCTGTGGAAGAAGGCCAGAATGCAGAGGGAAGTAGCCGTGTAGCTCTGTCCCCCTCATCCCTCCTGACCCCGGCCTCTCAGGGTGGAAGGCAGACAATGATTAGAGCCATTTATGAAGCCTTTAAAAATTAGATTCCTGGGCCCTGATGGGTGTGGCTCAGTTGGTTGGGCATTGTCCCACAAAGTGAAAGGTCACCAGTTCGACTCCAGGTCAGGGCACATGTTTGGGTTGTGGGTTTGGCCCTCAGTAGGGGTGCATAGGAGAAGCAATCAATTGATGTTTCTTGCTCGTATTGACCATTCTCTCCCTCTTTTTCTCCCTCCCTTCCCCTCTCCCTAAAAACAAATAAAATCTTTAAAGAAAAAAATTAGATTCCTGGGCTCCGCCTCCAGGAGATTCTGATTCACCTGCAGAGAGTGGACCAGGCTGAGTCCCAGAAGCTGGTACATACCACCCCCACCTGGCCCTGGCTCCAGACCAGGCAGTCAGCACAGGCCCAGTGAGCAGGGAGCCTGGGTGTCTCAGGTGGCACGAGCCCTGGCCGCTGGGTGAAACCCGAGCGGGCCCAGGTTATCTGATGGCGCACTTGCTCCAGCCCGTGCTCGCTTCTTGAATATCAAGATGAGGGGAAGGCTTGGGGACAGGCTGCCCTGAGCAGCACAGGCCACCCTGCGAGCGGCCCCAGGGCCAGAGGAGGTTGTAAGGAAAACATACTCCTTCTTTCCGCTCCCAGCCCCTCAGGACCAGACGTGTTGCAGCCATCCACAGTCCTCACGCTCATCCTTACTGATAACCCTGAAATCTAACTCTTTACACATCTGTCAGCGTGGAGGTGAGTTCCTCAAGGGCCGGGACGGGTCTTGTTCCCCTGTGCGCGCCCAGCACGGTGCCTGGCGCACCAGCAGCGCCTGCTGAATATTTCATGAATAAATGAGAGGTAGTAACACTTACTCCGTTACCTTGGGTCACAGAAGGACTGATATTCACACCCACTAGGCACCCGGGAAATGCACGTGCTCACTTCTAAGGGGCGGGAACCCCATCCACAGCAGCCCCACTGGCAGGTGTACTGAGTTACATTCGGTGTCATGGTGCCCTTAGATATGAGAAATTACGGAGACTTTCCACAGGAGAACGGCTTTCTCTCTCACGTAGACACGTACCCTGCGTACAATTTCTAGGTTAAGAGTATCAGCCCTTCCAAAGGGGAAGGCTCTTCTGATGTGGATAAATGCCGATTAAGGAAGGCAGCTGGAGTGACAGAGTCGGAAACTAACATTTTGCAACCCTCAAGCTCATCATTGATTTAGACAAGCATTACTGATAGATGCTGAACTCACTGGGTAAACAATTGTCAGGGAACAAGAAGACATCTCGGCCTAAACTAAGCTTCTTACCCCCAAACCAGGGTTCCACACTCCATGAAGAAGCCGGGACAAAGGAGAGGACCATCGTTAAGACAGGCTGCAGACCGTCTTATTAGGCTGTTTAAATAAAATCAGGTGATTTCTGTAAGTAAAAGGCCAGGGGAGAATTACCAGGCTCTGGGTCTTTTCTGGATCCTTCTCCCCTCTCCTTTTCCTGTGTGCCCCGCCCCCCACCTTCACTCTCTCAAGGAAAAGGCTGCAGGGAGAGGGTGTTGGGGGAGGAGACCCAGGAGGATCTGTGCGGCTCCTGATACCCCAGACAGATCCTCGTTGCCCTAAGAGATGGGGCAAGGCTTGCTCTGACCGCCCACCGTTCTCAGAGTCCAGCAGGCCCCTGTGCTGGATACACACAGGGCGGGTCAGCACACCTCAGACCCTTCTGTGCTGGGGGGGCTGGAAGCCTGAGAGCACAATTCCTCAGAGCCCCTTGCCAGCCAGGACTAGCTTTAAGGCCACTAGTGAGAGGCACCTGCTGCCAGTTCCCAGACCAGAAAGGCCCTCCCATCCACCTCACTGTAGGTGGTCCCCCTGAGGAAGCCAGGCCCAGAACTGAGACAGCGCCTGCAAGGGTAGACGTCTGAAGTGTCAGTGCGGCCCCAAGCCCACCTGGGATACAGGGACATCTGTCATCCTCCTGGCACAGGGGAGGGGGTTTTCTGCTGCCAGGCCTCTTGGAGCCGAGGCAGAAGTGTCAGCAGCAGAGAGTCCAGCACAGCCAGACCTTCCCAGGAACACCGGAGACCCCTGAAAACCAAGAGGCCTGCGCGTGTGAACGCATCGTCTTACCAACTTCAACGCCTACTGTCTGTTAGTGCCAACAGCACCCCCGGTCCCCTCCTCGTCGGTCTTCCCCACTTCTTCCGGGAGTGTGATCTGTAGCCAGGGCTTCCTGGGACTCCTAACCACCCCCCTCACCGCCAACACACCTGCGATCCAGGAGCAACAGGCCCTGCTCCAGCAGCGCGTCCACCTCCTCGCTTGCTCCAAACATGTCCCACAGGGTCAGCCGGGGCTCAAACTGCTGCCAGTGCTGGGGCAACAAGAAGGGTCAGAGGTACAGGGGCCACAGGGTAGGCAGCTGGTGGGGCTACCCCGGGCCACGTGTCCGGGGGTGTGGTGGGGGGTGAGGAAGGGTCCAGGACAGGGATCTCAGTCGGTGACTGTCACACACACCAGGCCCAGGCTGGCGGGTCAGCAGGGACATGGGCACCTTCACTCCACGTTCAGGCCGAAACCCAGCCCCCAGCAAGCCAGGACTCCTCTGGTTCCCCCCGACCCCCACACCGCCACCCCACCGCTCAGTGTATGGTTAGGGCTTTACAGCCCTGACTTCACCCAGAGCCACTCTACATTTGACTATCTACCCACCTTTTTTCAGTGCGACTTAAAAACCTGTGAAAACCCTTAATCTAGTCTCCTCCCCCACATAGCTGGGAAAACCGAAGCCCAGAGAGGTGAAAGGGTATGTGCCCAAGGTTGCAGCAGAAGGGACTAGACCCTGGGCCTCTGTGGCCCTGGTCTAGGATTCTCACCACTGCACCGCACTGCCTGTGGATTCTGCCCACCTGGCCTTGGCTGGACTAAATAAGGCCCACCCTCCAGCTGCCATCCCCAGAGGAACAGGAGGGGAAGAGGGTGTGTGTGTGTGTGTGTGTGTGTGTGTGTGTGTAAAGAGAGAGAGAGAAAGATGATTATGCACAGCTCAGGAGGAAGCAGTGTGCCAGAGCCCCCGGACCCCTTACCTGGTGAGTGATCCCCACATCTGTGCGTAGCCCCATTGCCAAAACTTCCTCCAGCCTGAAAGGGAAACCATCACAGGATCTTGGAGAAGAGACCTGTGCTTCTCCCCGTCTTCAAACCCTCTGCTGGGATGTGTGAATGGGGGGGCTTATGAGGATCATGCAGAATGGGGCATGGCAAGGCACGAAACAAACAGGTGCATGTGGAGGTGGTTCTTGGGGTGCAGGGGAGCACCAGGGTAACACTGGGGGAGAGTCCTGTGCCCTCAGATGCTCACAGCTCCAGGTTGCCCAGGGGGGAGCGCTTCCGGGTACCATGACCAAACAGCATCACCTCCTTCATCCAGTTGTCAGGTTCCAGGGTCTGGATCCGCGCCTCCCGGGCAAAGCCCCCGGCCCCCTGGGGTATAAACCGCCCATGGGCCCCTGGTAACATCAATGACCACACTCACTTCAACATTAGCTCATGCTGTGTGCCTGTCAGATGTTAGGTTAGTGGTTCCCAAGGGCGATCCCTGGGGCCAACAGCATCTAATACATTAGAAACATGAGTTCTTGGGCCCCCCCTCCCACCCTGCACAGTCAGAAATTCTGGAGGTAGGGCCACACCATCTGGGTTCTCACAAGCGCTCCAGGTAATTCTGACATGTGCTAAAGGCTGAGAACCACAGTGCCAGCCTGCCGTTATTAAGCACCTCGAAATACATACTCAATGGCTCTGAGGCACCCTTCCTTCCTCTGCCACACTTTAGTTATCAGGAAACAGAGGCTCGGAGAGATTAATAAATGGCTCAAGATCACGCAGCCATGACATTCCACTCCTGAGTCATTCATCCCTTCCATGGTTCACAGGGGACTCACCAGGCCCAACACCAATGTACTGACCACACTGCCAGTAGGTCCAATTGTGGGTACTAAGCGCCCCCTGTGGGGAGGGAGGGAATAGTCAATGCAGAGCAAAGCTGGTCACCCCGTTGCTGCTCAGGTAAGGGGCTCCTGGTTAGAATGTCCCCCTACCTCAGGCTTCAAAGCACCCACCAGAGACCCTTCTTCCCACGGGGCCACTTTCCCAGGTCACACTTTAGCCTGTCCACTCCTCACCTCAGCCATCGGCCCCAGGACTTACATTCCGGGCGAAGTTGGAGACCTCATACTGGCGGAAGCCAGCCTCCTGAAGAACTGCCCGTCCTTCCTGGTACATCTCAGCAGCGAGCTCGGGGTCTGGGGCTGGAAGGGCACCCTGCTGCACCTGGGTAAACAGGGCAGTGCCCCGCTCCAAGGACAACTGGTAGAGGGAGATGTGGTCGTCACAGTGGAGCAGCAGCTCCTCCAGCTGCCTGAGCCACGGCCCCACCTGCTGTGCCGGCAGCCCCAGCATCAGGTCGACAGACACACGCCCAGGGAACAGGCCCCGGGCCTCTGCCAGTGTCCGCAGAGCGTCGCCAGCGGAGTGTGTCCGCCCCAGCAGCTGGAGCTCAGTGTCATCCAGGGACTGTGGAGAGAGGGCCAGGAGTGAGCGCACAGGGCAGTTCAAGGGGACACAAAAACACCTGACTGACCCAACCGTGGACACAGACACAGGTGAAAATGCAGAGCAGGGCAGGCAGCTGGAAGGCAGACAGTCAAGCCGATATGAAGGGTGTACCATTCACCAAAGGGTGTCTACGTGCCAAGCATTTTTATGCGATGCCTGATTCATCCTCATAACCCCTCAACAGCAGTTCCATTTCACAGACAAGAACACTGACTTTCAGAGACGTTACGGAACCTGCCCAAGGGCATACGGTGGCAAAGGCAGACCTGAAATTTGGGACTGTCTGGCCCCAAAGCCAAGAGTCTTTTTTAACTTTACTTTTCATTTTGAAATATTTCAAATCTATAGAAAATTTGAAAAAAATATTTCAATGAGCACCTTCATCTAGATTCACCAACTAACATTTTGCTGCATTTGCTTTGTCTCTATAAATACACACATGTATTGATGTATAATGTTGAATCATACATCATACTAATAGTCGTATAAAATAGCACTGTCCAAAAGAACTTTCTGCAATGATGGACATGTCCTACCTCTGCACCATCCAATACAGTGGGGATTAACCACACATGGCTATTTAAATTTTAAGATAATTAAATTTAAATAATCACATTCCAAGTGTTTACTGGCACGCGGTCAGTATAGATATAGATAATTTTAATAGAATAGGGTGGCCACTGGCCACATTGGCAAACGGTTGTTTAATTTTTTTAAAAGATTTTATTTACTTTTAGAAAGCAGAAGGAAGGGAGAAATAGGTGGAAAGAAACATCAGTGAGTGGTTGCCTACGGTGCGCCCCCTACTGGTGACCTGGCCGGCAACCTAGGCATGTGCCCTAGACTTAGAATCGAACCAGCGACCCTTTGGTTCACAGGCCAGCACTTAATCCACTGAGCCACACCAGCAAGCGCTGGTTGTTTAAATTTAATGAACTTAAATATTATACCCTGTTACCCCTAACTACTTAAGTGTGCAGTTCCCAACAAGGACATTCTCTTACATAACCACATCCAATCACAGAGTTCAGGAAAGGTAACACGGATACGATGACATCATGCAACACATAGTCATATCCAAATCTGGTCAAGTCCCAGCCATGTCTACTGTAGTCACTTCCTCTTCCCACCGAACTCCAGGACCCCACCGGGGGTCACACGTTGCCCTGAGCGGTCAACGTCTCTCCAGTCCCCTTTAGTCTAGATCCTTAGCTTTTCTTTGTCTTTCATGACACTGGCATTTTTGAAGAACGAAGGCCAGATGTTTTTCAAAATGTCTCTTAATGAAGAAATTCTAGAGATGAGCAGATCTCTAGACACATCATTGTCTTCATAGTTAACAAATGGTTGGTGTGTACGGTACACTAAAAATTCGTTTGGAGGTTAGATCGGTCTCACGTTACCTGCTCTTACCACACACACAAAAAGTCTCAGCAGGTGGGTTTGCCTGAGGTTTCTTCACGACTAGACTCAAGAAATAGATGCATGTGGGGCCAGACCACCTCAGAAATGATGTGTCCCTTTCCGTATGTCCCGTCAGGGGCAGGCTCTGACCCCAGATTCTACGGTAAGCGGTACGTGTATTAGCAGTGGGGAAAGTAGTACTGGATATGAAAACACAAAGGGTCAGCCCGAGAGGAATATATTTCTGTCTACTTAAAAACCTTTAATGGCTTCCCTGTCACCACCGGGCCAAACCCAAACTCCCTAGTAGGTGCTGAAGGCTTCCTTATTTCCATTCTCTTTAGTCATAAGGAGTGACTCACAGCTCCCCCAAAACATGCAAGACTCTTCCACATCCTGTGTCTTTTCCTCCCACACCCTCTCCCCTGGTGAACTCACCTCCTCATTCAAACATCACCTCTCCAGGAAAGTTTTCATGATTTCATCAGACCGAGATGCCCTTCAGTCTGGACTCTGAAGGCCTCCCGTAGAGACCCCCTATACCACGCTGTAATGCCCTGACTACAGGTTTGCCTCCCCCTGTATCTCCAATCATGTAACAAATCTTTTTTGAGCGTGTGCTATGTGCCAAGCACTATGGTGGGTGCTTGGAATTCTGTGATGAACAGAAAGGCATGCATAATCCCTGCCTCCCAGAGCTTGTGGTGTAGCACAGAGGCAGACAATTACATAGTTACAAAAGTGTCACCAGACACTTTTCATTCAGTAAGCCCTGGCATTCTGGCACTACTAGGCCCTGGCACCCAGAAGGAGCTCAATAAATGAATGTAACCAGAGGAGAGACAGCACAGAAGGACTGGATGCCCTGGGACAGGGTGGATAAGATCGGTTACCTGGAGGCCAATGGACAACCTGTTGACTCCTGCTGCCCCAAATGCTGCCAGCCTAGAGGCTGGGGCAGAAGTGGGGTTGGCCTCCAACGTGACTTCAGAGTCTGCAGGCAGGTGAGTTGCCTGGGCCACTGCCTCTAGGACAGCAGCCACAGTGTGGGGGCTGGCCAGACTGGGAGTGCCCCCACCAAAGAACACAGACTCCACCCTGGGTAAAGAAGGTGGAGAGAATGAGACCTGGGTGAGCCCTTTGGGATGCCTGCAGCACCTGTCCCATCCACTCCCTCCAAGTCCTGCCTCTGGCCCCCATACCCACCGATGCACCCCGCTGAGCCGCAGCAGCGTCTGAGCCTCAGTCACCAGGCAGCTCCGCACAGCTGCCTCCTCCACCCCGCGGGGGATGTACTTATTGAAGTTGCAGTAACTGCAGCGCTTCTCGCAGTAGGGCCACTGGAGGCAAAGGGTGTTTGAAGGGAGAGAGAGGTGACTGCAGGCTGTCCTGGGTTCACTTCCAGGGCGCAGTCCCACACATCCCCATCCCCATTCCAGTTTTGTCAACAGTGCCTACGTCATCTGAGTCATACAACCCCCCAAGCCAGGTCGGACTGGTATTGTTATGCCCACTTCAATAATACAAAACTGAGCTCTGAAGGAAAATCACATGGTCAAGGGTCACTGAGCTGGTGAGCACCAGAGACTTCAGGTCCCTGGACCCAGACATTTCACTGTCGGGGCACCAGCTCCCGTCCAAGGCCTCGCCTGGGAGACGGGGGAAGTCGGCAGGTGGCAAGTCACTATGTAGGTTCTGGCCGGCGCGGCCGCGCCCCCGAACCTCTCTCCCTCCTTCCCACTCACGTGGACGTAAAGCGCCGCGCGCTGGCTCGGAGTCACAGGACTCAGCGATCTTCCCGCGCCCTCCGCTCGGCGGCGCCTCTGGGCCACTTTGGCTGCTGCCGCCCAGGCCCCAGCCCGGACCCCGGGAAGCGTCATGGTGCGCAATGCAGCGGGATAGCCTGTGCAACAAGCACGATCCGAGCCCGAGGCGCACTCAGAGTGCACGGTGTGCGCAGAGCTGAACAGGTTGGGTCGCCCCAGCGGAAGGAAGAGGGGCTGCGTGACCGAGCGGCGTCGGACGTCTTGCCCGGAGGACCCAGGACCTCGGGTCTACGGCGCCACCTGCCGGGCACCTGTGTGCTCACCGCAGTCACCCGTCCTTTCAGGTGGGGTGGTAAGCGGCCCGCCTTTGACACGTTGTCCCGAGGCGAGCTCCCTTACCCACCTAAGAATTCTTAGTTCGTTCAGTGAATTCCTTCACTTTTTATGTGCCTGGCAGAGAGCTGGGCACTGGGGACATAAGACCAGGTCACAATACAAGTGCATAAGATAGGAGAAGCAAATCAAGAAGAGACAACAGGCCACATATATTAATTCAGCACCTGCTGGACACCAAGACAGCCTGCTCTGTCCTGTGGGGCAGTGTGTTACAAGGGTCTTGGAGCCAGTATGGGAGGAGAGGACCCTTGGGCTGGATGTCGAAGGGGCAGGAACCCCCAGGAGAAGCCACTAGGCCAGGAGGTTAGGCTGTCGTCTCCTGGGTCTGATCACCCTCATATCTACAGTCGCTGGTGGGAGAGTCAGGGATGGGAACTGTGGGAGAAACAGAGTTCAGGTGGAGGGCTTGGAAAGCAGGCCCCTGAACAGTGCCATGAAGTTGAAAGATTACAGGCTTTTGGAGTCAGACAACCAGGTTCCAATTCGGGCTGACCTTCCTCAGGACACCAAGCGGCCCTGAGTTTCTGCGTCATTATTTGTGAAGTGTCCACTTGACAAGGTTGTTGGGAAGATTTCAAGAAAGTCCTTGACCCTTGGAGTATCCTAAACTTATGTTTGTTTTCTAACAAGCAAAGAGTCTGACCCGAGTGGCTCAGTGGGCTGGGCATGGTCCCTTTCAGCAAACTGAAATGATGTTGGTTGATTCGAAGTTAGGGCACATGCCTGGGTTGTGCGTCAAGCTCCCACTAGGGGGCGTGCGAGAAGCAACCAACGGATGTTTGCCTGCGCAAAGGGAGCAGACACCGACGGGGTGAGGATTGCAAGCAGGAAGAACTATTTTTATTTCTGGGGTCAAGTAACATTTCCTGGGCCTGCTTTATCTGGCTCTGCCCATCTGAGAAGCACAGGTTCAGTGGTGAAAAAAATAACAATTAAAATTGGGCTGCTTGAGGAGTTGGTGGGGGGACAAGAGAGTAGGAAGAGGGGGGATGATAGCTAAAGGGTATGGCGTTTCTCTTCTTTAAACATATGAAGAATTTTTTCCATCACCATTTATTCCCCCTATACCCTCTGCCACCTTCACTCACCCCTCACACCCTTGGAGTTTCTTTTCAGGGAGATGAAAATGCTTAAAATCAACTGTTATGCTAGTGGCACATACCTGTGAATATTCAAAAAGCCAATGAATTTTATTGTTTTAAAATTTATTGTACATTTTATTTGTTTTAAAGAAAGGGTAGGCTCTTTAAAATTGATTTTTAAAATTTGTAAACATTTATGTATTGATTTAAGAGAGAGAGGAAAGGAGAGAAGCATTAATTTGTTGTTCCACTTATTTATGCATTCCTTGGTCGATTCTTATATGTGCCCTGACTGGAGAATCAAACCCACAGCCTTGGTGTATCAGGGCAAGGCTCCAACCAACTAAGCTACTGAGCCAGGGAGAATGGTACACTTTAAATGCATGATTTAAACGGTATGTGAATTACATCTCAATGAAGCTGTTATAAAAAAAGAACACTTCTTGCTGGACTAATTGTCACTAATCTGGTGACAATGTGAAAGGGAAATAAGTATAGTTTTTAAATATATCAGATACCAAAGGGAGTGAAAATTAAATTAGTATGTAATACACACCAAAGAGTTTAACACCCTCATTGATAAGTTTGAAAGTGCTAGTCTCCTTCTGGCTCCTTCCCTTCTGCCAAGAGATCACACCAGCAAGAGATCAGCCAAAGAAAACAGAAATGCTCTTTATGTCAAATCACAAAGACAGAGGAGGGGAATGTGGGGGAAGGGCAGGCAGGGCTTGGGAGGCAGGACCTTCATTTACAGGTTTAGATGCTGTTCCATCTGTTTTTGAAGCTTGAATTTCTGGATCTGGAGGAAAGAGAAAGGAGCGAGAGAGAGCCAGTCTTGTGACCTCTGCCAGCTAGGGAGACTAACCGTTGGCATGTGCCTGGGATTGAGGAGTTTCCTAGGCTAAAGCCAGGGAAACTTTGGGGCAAACCAGAATACGTCGAATAGTTGGTCATCATACTGCCAGACTCTTACCTGCTGCTGAGGGAAGCAGAGGGGGGGACCACCCCGCCCCTCCCTTGTCTTCTTCACCTGACATACCTTTCCTGTGACGGTGAGGGGGTACTCGTTGACAAACACGATGTATCGGGGAATCTTGAAGTGGGAGATCTGCAGACCAGAGGGAGGTACAGCATGAGGCTGGGTGAAGGTCATAGGGTTGGAGAAGGGAGCAGTGGGCTCAGTGGTTGGCAGGGAGAAAGGGTTGAAGAACCGGGCACTATCGTTTGGGGGTGCATGGAGGCTCCCACCTTCCCTTTGCAGAAAGCCTTGATCTCCTCTGGCGTGGCTTCCTCTCCATCCTTCAGTCGAATGCAGGCGCAGATTTCCTCCCCCATCAAGTTGTCCTTCACTCCCACCACCTTCCAGAGTCACAGACAGGTATCAGACATCCCTAGCCCCATCTGTGTTTCCTGCTCCTGGGGGCTCACCTGGACCGGGTGCCTCACCTGAGCTTCCTGCACCTGTGGGTGTGTGTGAAGGAAGCTCTCCACTTCTGCAGGGTAGATATTCTCGCCACCCCGAATGATGATATCCTTAAAGCGGCCCACGATTTTGCACCAGCCCTGCTCATCCATGATGGCGGTGTCTCTGTAAGGAAAGGCCAGAAATGGCCTCTTGCCTGTCTGCCTCAGCCAGCTGGCTTGCTCACTCATTCATCATGCATTTATTGAGCACCTAATAGGTGCTTTGCACTGCTCTAGACTCTGGATGATCCAACATGAAGAAGACATTCCCTGGAACTTACAGTCTAGTTGGGGAGGCAAAAAAAGCGAAACAATACCTACATATTCTCTCTCTCAACATCTGTCTATACATATGCTTTTCTTGGTTGGCTTCTTTTCTATCATTCAGGTCTCAGGTCAAACATTTCCACATTAAGGAAGCCTTCTCTGACCACCCAAACTAAGAGAAGTTCCCCTCCCTATTAGTAGAACTTTCTTCCCTCTGATCCTATTTTTTTCCTTCATTTTTATCATTGTCTGAAATGATGTTATTTATATGTCTCGCTCCACCAGACATGTGAGAAGTAAGAGTAGGATCCTTCTTGTCTTGCTTTCTCTTGGCCCGCTGGTGTCTAGAACCGTGCTGGCCCGTGGCGGGTGCATAAGAACTTGTTGCATGAACAAATGAGTGACTAAAACTAAATCTCGGCCCTGATTTTGCTGACACTGGTGCAGCACGCTGTCCCGGTGCTCTCTCCAGTGCCACATTTGATCCTTCCGGGGGCCCTGTGCGCCGCTTCGATCACCCCCATTGCACATACTGAGGAAATGAAATCTGTGAAGGGCCATCCTGACACACATATTCTCCCTCTTCTCTGTTGATGTTCTTAGCTCAGCCCCAGGACCCCTGGCTTCCCCTCCGCAGCCAAAGCCTCCACCCCGCCCTGCACTCTCACCCTGTCCGATACCACTTGTCGAGTCCAATCACTTCCTCAGTCTTCTGGGAATCACCCCAGTAGCCCAGCATGACGCAGTACCCTCGGATGTACAGCTCTCCGGGTGTGTTCAGCTCTGTTATGGCCCCTGTCTTCGGGTTCAGGATCTTGGCCTGGGATGGGGCAGCTTCAGGCTAGGGTCTCCCACCCTCTCATTTCAGGATACAGTGGGGTTACTCAGGAATGGGTGAGAGCTTTGCCTTTCCTCTCTCCAATAATGAGGCCCTTCTGGCTCTGCCCAGCATGATCCAGGGAAGGGAAACAAAGGCCAGAGTGGATGCATCACCGGACACCTAAGCTGGGCATGCAAGAGGGGAGGCCCAGGCCGGCATGTGGAAGAAACAGAGTAGACAGGACCTGCCTCGGAGAAGGCCTATGGAGGGATCGGGCAGGCTGGAGAATTACAAATTGTGTAGAAGAGAAGGGATCGTTCTCTTACTTCCCATTAAGCAGCAAATAGAGAAACCAAAGAGGGTGGTGTGGCTGGGCCATGTGAGCAGAAGTGGCAGAGAGGCAGAATCTGAAAGCCTAGTGAAGAAATGAACCGCAGCCAGCGTGAAAGGAAGGCTTAGCCTCTATGTGCCTCAGTGTCTGCGTCTGTGAAATGGGGAGAACTACGCTGGCCCTGTCTACCTCCCAGGTGGGCATCCACAGAGGGGCAGTGAGGCTGTTGGATGTCACAGCACAGCACACTCACTCCGGGGAGGAGGGAAGGAAAGATCGGCTGGAGGGGAAGCAGCGGCATGAACACACCGGCAGTGACCCGCAGGCGCGAGGGCACAAGGAGGCAAGGGAAGCCAGGTGTGGGCTGGCATAAAGCACCGGTGTTGGAGCAGGGAAGGAAAGGAGTCCTGGTTGGGAATTTGAGAGCGAGAGATGATCTGGGTCAGCCTTGAGGTGCAAGGGACACCCCAGGGGACTGGTAGCTTGGGAAATCCAGTGTTCACACCAAATGAAAAGACGAGCTCTGTTGACGCGAGGGCAGGGGGTCTATGGGAGAGAAAGACCCGTGTAGGAAAAAAATCTCTGCTCTTCGGCTCCTCTTTGAGGCTGTCCCAGCTGCCCCGCAACAGACAACGGGGCTTGGCACAGACACACCTCAGACAGGAAGGGAGGCTTCAGGGAAGTTCAGCTGGCAGCCGCTCACGGCCACAGCCCAGTTCTTCCTCCCAGGCCTCAGCCCACAGAGAGCCTCAGGCCAGGCCCAGGGAAGACCCTGCTTTGGGGAAGAGGGAGTGCTCTCTGCAGGAGGTGGGGCCTGGGGGGCCTGGTCTGGGGCTCACCTCTGTGTGAGGCATGACTCTGCCCACACTGTTTTCCTTCTGCTCCAAGGTGTCCTCGGGAAACTGCGAGAAGGTCACAGGGCTGTTCTCTGTGGTTCCGTAAGCAATCTACAGGGTCCAGAAAGAATATTAGGAGGGAGCTGGCTGACTGCAGAGGGACGGGGGGAGCTACCCAGAGGGACTGGAAGGAACTCAAGGGAAAGTGAATGGTGGGGAAAGAGGCACAACTGGTAGAGGTCAGGGGTCGAGAGCAGAGATGCTGGGACATTGAGCTGATGACAAACAGGAGCCCAGATGTGAAACTGATAGCAGGGAAGATATTCTCTTCTGGCCAGGGTTCTCTCAGTGTGTTTCCCGGAGACCCGGATTGCTACCCTCCCCTTTCCTCAGGAATCCGGACGCGGTGGCTGGCAAGTGGGCACAGAGGTCTGGTCAGCCGAGGCAGGGCTGCCCACAGGACCGGAGCTGTCCGGGGCTGGTCCTTTATAGCCAGGGCCTGGGCCCCCTTACCAGCCAGCCCTCCCAGTCCTGGGGCCACTGCCCAGGTGTAGCATCTGCCAAGTACATCTTGGCGCCATCCTGGCCACAACCCTGGGGATGGGAATAAGGAGGATGGGATATTTTAAGGAGATTAAAAGGGTGTGGGGGTGGGACTGTGCTTGTTCAGCTGCCTGACTCCCTGCCTGCCTGTGACCTTCAGGTGTGTTTTTGAGTCCTGTGGGTCACTTTCCCCCACCACCACTGCACGCGCGCGCAAACCCGAGCACACACGCGCACGCGCACACACACACTTTTCTGGTTAGTGTTCAGCCATGGAAAAAGAAGAGAGTGGTCGCAAGAGAAAACTCAAGCTTCAGGCTGGTAGAAGGAGCCCCAGGCAAGTCCAGGGGCGGGGAAGGAGCTCGCGTCTCCCTGGGGCTGGCGGCGCGTCTAGCCAGAAGGGGGAGCCCGACGCCAGGCCGGCGCCGCACAAGAGCCCCATTAAAGCGCCGCCGGCTGGCCAACTGCGGCGAGACTCGCGTCCGACTGTCCAGCCTGGCTTCCTCCTTCGCCGGGTCCAGGGCACGGGGCCCAGTGTGTATGGGGGCGGGGGACGGGGGGGGGGGGCAAAGCGCGCCGCGGAGGCTCGAACTTAAGCAAACAAATACGTTCACCGACCGCCTCCATCCCCGCGGTGCGATCACTGGGCTCTAAGCCACCCCCTACCCACCCCCTCCCGCCCCGAAGCATGGGGAAAGGAGCTAAAGAAGCAGGCAGGGCCTGAGAGCAGGGATGAGGTTGAGGGCCGCGGTCCCAGCCCCGCGGGGCTGCCAGCTGAGGGAGGGGCCCCGCCCCCGCCCAGTGGAGGGCGGGGGCGCATCGCCGGGCGGGAGGGAGTTGAGTCCGGTGGCCTCGACGCTCCACGTAGGAGCTGGCTCCCGCTGTCGGTTGCGGTCAGGGCCACCGTATAAATAGGGCGGGAGACCCGAGCTCCGAGGACTTCCCGCTGCCCGTGTCCCTCTGTCGTCGCCGCCGCTGTCTCCAGCCCGGCCCCAGGCGTCCTGCCATGGCCACCTTCTGCCCTGTCCTCCTGCTCAGCCTCGGCCTCCTGGCAGGCCTGCTGCCGGCGTTGGCCGCCTGCCCCCAGAACTGCCACTGCCACGGCGACCTGCAGCACGTCATCTGCGACAAGGTGGGACTGCAGAAGGTCCCCAAGGTGTCAGAGAAGACCAAACTGCTCAACCTACAGCGCAACAACTTCCCCGTGCTGGCTTCGAACTCGTTTCGCGGCACGCCCAACCTGGTGTCACTGCACCTGCAGCACTGCCAGATCCGCGAGGTGAGCGCCGGCGCCTTCCGCGGCCTCAAGCAGCTCATCTACCTGTACCTGTCCCACAACGACATCCGCGTGCTGCGCGCTGGCGCCTTCGACGACCTGACCGAGCTCACCTACCTCTACCTGGACCACAACAAGGTGACCGAACTGCCCCGAGGGCTGCTGTCCCCACTGGTCAACCTCTTCATCCTGCAACTTAACAACAACAAGATCCGAGAGCTGCGCGCAGGTGCCTTCCAGGGCGCCAAGGACCTGCGCTGGCTCTACCTGTCGGAAAACGCGCTCAGCTCCCTGCAGCCTGGGGCCCTAGATGACGTGGAGAACCTTGCCAAGTTCCACCTGGACAAGAACCAGCTGTCCAGCTACCCCTCAGCTGCGCTGAGCAAGCTGCGGGTGGTGGAGGAGCTGAAGCTGTCCCACAACCCCCTGAAGACCATTCCCGACCACGCCTTCCAATCCTTCGGCAGATACCTGGAGACCCTCTGGCTGGACAACACCAACCTGGAGAAGGTGAGCTCCTGGCTGCAGAGCTCTGCCCTGGCTCCTTCTTCTCTGTCTGGAGACCCAGGAATCCAGGGCCACAGCTGGGCACCACTCTCTCACCCCTGAAAATGCCTCTGTCCCTCTGGCTATCTCCAAGGTGAGGAGCTCTGTCCTTTATCTTGTCACATTCCCACCCTGCCCTGCTGCCCCCATCCCTCGTCTTAACCAATGCCCTCCTAGCATTTCTACTTATAAGTGGGGCTGGAGCTGCTCTGGCCCCACCAATGGCCCCTAGGAGGTAGGTCCAATTCTCCCGAAACCCCCGCTGTGGGCGGCAGCCACCTCTTCCTGTTGGGCCTCCTGCCCCTCCCCTGCTGTTTTCCGTCTCCAGTAAACCTACCACCCCATAAAGGGAGGTTTGTTTATTGAGGAGACTTCCAGGGGAGCTGGGCGGATCGGGCCCACAAAGAGACCCTGTTCCTGGAGGGGGTGTGCATGTGTGCTGAGGGGTGGGGGGGGCTGGGGAGTAAATACCGGAGGAAGACCTCCTCCATGCCCCCTAGAGGCCCTGGTGGATTCCACCCGCCAGCCCCCACCGCCCCTCCACATACATATTCCACTGCATTCTAGGTCCATTTCAACTGAATGGGGACCGGGGACCAGAGGCTCCCCCAGATTGCAGGCATGGCACCCAAGAACTCTGTGAAGGGCAAAGGCAAGAACCATAGATCATGGCCAGCCTTTGGCACAGGTCCCCAGGCGTCTCCCTGTAGGGAAGACCGAATATGCCTCACTGTCCCCCAGACTACTGACAGCCCTTTGCCCACTCCAGTACCCAGACCCATCTCCTGGCTGCAGCCTCATTGAATCCTTCCTCCCTTGTGATACTCAGCACCCGGCCAGGTGGTGCTGCCTTGGGTCTGGGTGGAATCTCTTCTTGGAGCTGGAAAAATTGCTCTGGCACAAGGGTGTCAGCAGGAGTTTGGGGCAGGCACTGGGGCAAGATGGGGGAGATGGTCGTCAGCACAGTCCCGTTACCAGAGAACTTCACACCCTCCCTGGCCACGGGCATGGAGACGAGGACAGAATCATACCTTGTAGGCAGCCAGCTTTTGTCTACATGGATGGAGCCTGCCCTTCCATAGCCTGGCTGCTCCCCAGCTGAAGTCAGAGTACCCTGTGCCTTCCACCCCCAGAGCCAGAGCAGCCTTTCTGGACAGGGACTGATCTGGGACAGGGGAGGCCAGGCAGGATCTATGGCGCCTGGGCCAAGAGGTGAGCACCAATAGAAGGTTTCCTCTGGCGCTGTCCAACCCGGCCAGCCGCTCCTCCAAGTGGGCTCCACAAATAGCTCCTGGCAGGCAGCGAGGGAGCAGTGAGGACAGAGCTGGGGGAAGTCCCAGAGCCTCGGGGCTGTGGGGAGCCTGGGCCCACTGCCCGTCCCACCAAACACTGACCAGCTTCACCATGCGCCAGCTCGGGCCACTGGGGCCAAACTCTGGCCGCCTCCCCAGTGGCAGTGTTTGTGCAGAAAGTGTGGTGCTGAGGGCAGAGGAGCTGGGTGTGGTCCCGCAGCTACTGTGCACTCCCTCCTGTGGCCTTGGGCGAGGGACTTAGCTTTGTCCTCCCACCTGCATGTTGGAAACACCAGCTATCCCAGAAACGGGGCTGTCTGTGTCACATCATCAGAGACAGCTCAGTCGTATTGTGACACTCCTCAAGGTGTGACTGCGTACGCCCAGGGAAGGACCCTGCCCCTCCGGGGCCACGAGCTGGGAGAGGCTGCGCCTGGGGTGCTCACTTGTGCCCACCTTACTCCCCAGTTCTCCGACGGTGCCTTTCTGGGTGTGACCACGCTGAAAAATGTCCATCTGGAGAACAACCGCCTGAACCAGCTGCCTTCCAACTTCCCCTTCGACAACCTGGAGACCCTCACTCTCACCAACAACCCCTGGAAGTGTACCTGCCAACTCCGGGGACTCCGGAGGTGAGTGCACCCCCATGCTGCCCCCAGAACTCGCCCTCCCGTGATGCAGTGGAGACACACTGGCCCTGTGCTAAGATGTCCTGGACATCTGTCCTGCACCCGCTATCGGATAGGCGCAGGGCTCTGTGAGTTCCTTCATTTATAAAATGAACATGACAGTTCCCAGACTACCCCGCAGCCAAGTCAGTCCCGGCCCCATAGCAGCCTTGTCCCTTCCCGCATCACCGCCACGGCTTCTCTCCATCTCTTCAGGTGGCTGGAAGCTAAGGCTTCCCGCCCAGATGCCACTTGTGCCTCACCCACCAAGTTCAGGGGCCAGCACATCCGTGACACAGACGCCTTCCGCAGCTGCAAGTTTCCCACTAAGAGGTCCAAGAAAGCCAACCGCCAGTAAACAGGTGGGAACAGGGCGGGCAGGTCCTCGTTCCCCTCTGTGGAGATTCTGGCAAGTGAAGAGGGTGTCCCAGGGTCCTCCCTCCCCGCAGGGCACCACGCAGACCCTCCAGTTTCGCAGGGAGCAGAGGGGAAGCCCTGGGTCCCCTTCTAAAGGGGGGAATGACACCACCCAGGGCTCCCACCATCCTCTCCAACATCCTCTGGGTTATGGGAACCCTGACAGCGATCCCGGCTTCATCGCAGGTCCTGATCCAGCCAGTCCTGGGGACTGGTTTCTGCCTTCCGTTGGAGAAACTACTGACCTTTCCACCTCTGACCCCACCTTCTTCCACAGCCTCTGCTGACTCACAGAGCTGTCCACACCTAGACATGTCCTGGCCGGGGGACTCGGGACTCCAGCAGGGACCCAGCTCCACCATCTCCACGTGACAGTGAAGGCTCCGTCACACCTGGCCCCTCCGCCATGGTTCCTCTCAAAGAAGCTTCTGCTGAGACCCCTTAGTCCTTCAGAACTGGAACCAGGTGGTCATCAGGATGGCCATCCTTTTGTCTGCTCCCCTGACCCTTCCGTTTGGAAACGAACACCAGATCCTTGCCCTGCCCCTTGTTTCCGGGAAGGGTCGTAAGCCTGTACTCCAACTCTGCCAGCCTCTTCCTGCCAGGATGCTCTAGCAGGATACTGGTGCTTTGCCAAATATCCCCCCATGCTGCATTTCTTCCCCAGATTTCTGTAAGTATAAATGTGTGTATGTATAATAGGTACTCCCCGGTGTGCACTATCTCCATGACTCGCCAGCTGCAGATGAGGCCAGATTGCATTTTCTCGAGTCTGCTTTCTGGAAGATGGGTGGGCTGAGAGGGTCTGCTCTGGAGATTGGCCTGGGCTCATCCTCACTCCTGCACATCTGTTCTCATCCCAGGCTGGCCTGCCTCCCTCCCCCAGCCCCAGCCCCAGCCCCCACTCACCACCAGGTCCTTTGCGTTCATCTTGTTTATGATGAGTCGGATCAGGTCTGGGGGTACAGGGGACCCAGCAATGATGCCTGAATCAGAGAGAGGGCTGACACAGTTGCCCCCTTCTCCAGGCCCAGTGGACCCCCTTTACCTGCAGGTCTTTCTAAGGAAGAACATTCCCTGTCTTCCTTGACCCTGGACCTGTTCCTACACTTGGGCTGCTGCCCAGGGTTGCTGGGAATTTGCCTCCCTCCCATCCACGTTCCTACAGTGACCTTCTTGCCCCCTAAATAAAGGACTGGGTGTATATCAAGCTCACCCGGGCCAATCCTGGCCTGGCCGCCCTCGGCCCCATCCCACCTGCACTTATGGTTGAGATGTCATAACTGGAGAAGTCTGGCTGGTTCAGAACATCCACGTACATTGTGGGGGTGCCATACAGGAAGGTGCCTCTGTGTAAGGAGGGGTGGCATCTCAAAATCAGGTTTGGAAGTCAAATGGAACTCCCTCTTCTCAGCCACCCCACCTTGAACCTGTAGTAAGGGTCAAGACTGCAACTGTGGGAAAGGGGCAGGAGAAGTTCTTTGGAAAAATGAACTGGTCCTCTCCTGGGGTCCCCCACTGCCCTGTCTCCATTTCTCCTGGCCAGGGGAAGAAGACATCCTGGAGAGGGATCAGGTCCCAGGAGTGAGGAGGAACAGGAGGATCTTATGAGCCCGCAGGTGGCTGCCCACTGATGCCCACCTTTCTTTGCTGATGGCCTCCAGAGTCTGCTTGCCATTAAAACTTGGAGAAGGCAGGATGAGGGGGACACCGTGTAGCACGCTCACCATTGTGCCTACTACAGAGCCCATGCAGTGGTACAGGGGGACGGGCAGAATTAACCTCGGCGTCACTGGTGTCTGGAGAGGGAGGCAAGAGGCTAGGTCTGTCCTGCAGCCAGAAGCTCCAGACGCTGGTTCCTCTGGCCAACAGGGAGAGCCCAGCAAGGCCCCACCCATGCAGGGCGCCAGTAAGTCTTAGCCAGCACCCCCCTCACCTTCAGGTTCAGTTTCAAGCGCTTGCCTAACAAGCTGGAGTTGTTGACGACGTTGTAGTGGGAAAGGGTGGCCCCCTTGGGGTTGCCCGTCGTCCCCTGACAAGACAAACAGATAACACTTGGCCTCTTTCTCCCCACCTCCTTCACCCCCGGGCCACTGCAGGGAGGAGCATGTGACTGTGGGACTAGGAGTTAGGAGACTGGGTCCATGCATTCATTCCATGACTGTGCGATGCCAGGTGATAAGATCAGAAGTGTGGAAGATAAAGTCTTATCCAGTACCTCTGAGGACTCCGGGGCTCACGAGAAGATTCCCTTTCTGACCCTCAATTTCCTCATCTGCTAAATGAGGGAGCAGGCCCCACCAGCTCTGACCTATAGTGGCCCAGTGCATCTGCCCCTGCGCTGGGGACAAGAGGGCCGGGGGAAGGGTGCATGTGACAAGGACACCCGTTGCTGATGTTTTCCAGGGTATAGAGAACAGCTAGGGCCAGGGCCAGGAGAGGCATCTGCACTCTGACCTCATCCATTGTATCCTCACTCGAGGGCAAGGGTCACAGGGGCAGGCAGGGGTCAGCATGCTACCCTGGGCTTGGGTCATGGAGACTCCTGCCTTACCGAGGTAAACTGGATGTTGACAGGGTCATAGCAGGACAGGAGCTGCTCGGTGTACCGGAGCTGGGCCAGATTCTGCTCTGTGTTTCCGGCCGCCACCACATCCTCCAGAAGCAGTGTCCCTGGCATAGGGGCATCCACTGAGATGAGTGTGGTCAGATCTGGGAGCCTGGGGGGAGGGAGGGTAGAGAGTCAGGGACTGAGGGAGGGGGCACAGAGACACCAGCCTCCTCCCTGGGGGTGGGTCGCAGTGGAGGGAGCCAGGATGCCACATAATGTACCCTTCCCAACCAGGGACACCCCCACCTCTGACACTTCAAGGCCCCTGGCTGGGCCTTCTCCACTTCTGGACAGATCTGCTTCAGGATATTGTAGTATTGCTGGGTCTTGAATTGCTTGGGGAACACGAGGGCTTTGCAGCCCACCTGTGGAATGGGAGCCCCCCCCCACCCGACCAGTCAGCAGAGAGCCTCACACTGGGGAGATGTGGAGTCCACACTCAAAGTTGCTCTCTCTGGCCCTGGCTGGTGTGGCTCAGTGGATTGAACGCCAGCACACATGCACTGCTACCCCAACACACAACACACACATGCCTCTAACCCCCATTCGCATTCCACCGCTGTGACACATGCGTGTGCCGCCACCCCTAACACACACCAGCCTTGCATCTGCCCGACTACCTCCTCCTCCTGCCCACTCGCAGTCCAAGGGGGCAGACTCTGGGTATTGCCTGGCTGTGCATGCCCTCCTCACCCCATTAGCCCACTGTGACAACTGAAAGCCTGTTCCAGATCAGGAAGAGATCCTACCTTCTTGAGGGCATACTCCAACTCCATGGCCTGGTAGGCTGGATTCACAGACACCTGCAAGGGTACATCAGTGTCCTGGGCAGACCCTGTCCCTCTCGTTGCCCCTCTATCCCTCAGGAGGCACAGAAACATGGTGTAGACCGAGGTGGCACCCTGCCCCTCTGGACCTCCTTGGTAGCTTCAGGAGAAAGCTACCCAAATACCCATGCAAGCACTGGTTTGATTCTGAGGCCAAGGGGCCAGCAGACTTCCTTTGAATGATGCCCTCCTGATGCCCCCCTCCGTACCCAGCTGTGCCAGGCCAGCCCCTTCTCACCAGAATGATGCCTGCTTGAGCTGTGGCCAGCTGCATTAGCACCCAACTATAGGAGTTTGGTCCCCACATGCCTAGTCGGTCACCCTTGCAAAGGCCGATACTCAGGAGCCCAGAGGCAGCTTTGTCTACCTGGTGGAAACAGGGCACAGGGGTAAGGTGTGGGCGAACAGGAAGGGGCCATGATGCCCACTTCAGCCCTCAGCCCAGGCATTCACATCAGAACCACCTAGATACAAGGCCTCAGTGGAACTGGAGTGGGGCATGGAATGTGCAGAGTTAGTAAGAGCCCCAGAAGTGACTGATGCAGGAGGCATGTGGGCAACCTCTGCCCCAACCCTGTCCTCATCTCCTGACATCTCTGGGGGTTCCCAGGCATCCCCAGCTCCCTGCCCCACAGCCAGGTGCTGCCCTTGTGGCCCCCCTCAGCCAGAGAAGCTTGGGGACTAGCACCTGCCCACTTGAAGAGTTTGAGGTCAGGACCCACCTCCTCCTTGAGCTGGGCAAAGGTCAACCTGATGTCCTCATGGAGGACGACCAAGGCCTCCTGGTTTGGGAACCTCTGTGCTGTGGCAGCCAGGCACTGTCCCATGGTCTTGTCGATCAGATGAGATTTGGTGCAGCCCTGGACGTAGCTAAGGCCTCCTCTGGGCAGGGCGGCCCTGTCTTCCACCTCTCTGGAACTGTGGGGAGAGGTGAAATGGGCCCCACTGCCTGGGGCCAGGCCTCCCCAGCACCAACTGGCACACCCGGCTGGGAGGTGGGTTCTTAGGGATCACTGCTGAAACTGCGGACCCACCCCATTCATCCCCAGGAGCCATTGCCATTGAACTTAGGGGTGGCTTCACCCTTGGGAGATCCAAACCAGAATCTGACTGCGTGTCTGTAATCAGAGAGAAGGCTCTTTTCCCCAACCGGCCTCTGCAGTTCCCACTCAGCGCCAGCAGCCTGGAGCCTTGGTGCAAACATACTGGAAAAGGAAACCAGGGCAAATCACGTGGCTTTGAGAAAAGCCCCTGGGCACTTGTCACAAAATAGATGGGTCCAGCACAGGGACCAACCCTTAATTAAACTAGGGACTATAGTCCAGGATCAGGGACAATGCACTAATTGTAACAAATACTGATGCCAAGATGTTAACAACGGGAAACTGCCAGGGTGGGGCAGGTGTGAGAAGCGCTAGTTCAACCTGCTCAGTTATCCTGTAACTTCAAAAGCTGCCCTACAAAAGTTAAGTGTTTTACCATATTTTTTGGACTATAGACGCACTCCAAATTTGGGAGGGAAAAGGGGGTGCATCTTCTAGTCCAAATGTACCTTTACGTTTACACTGGTGAAATATTATGTTATTTATGGTATTAAATATTTTACCCCATTTTTTGCTTCAAAAATTTCCCCCTCTTTCCCTCCTCTAAAACCTAGGTGCGTCTTATGATCCGAAAAATGCGGTAATTATTAAAGAAACAAAACCATAAAAGGCCTCTGGAAGTCCAGGTATCGCGTGCTGAGGACTGTGTGTGCTCACCTGCTCGCCCTAAGTGGCAGGTGCTCCTGGCCAGGCCTATGAAGCAGTGCAGTGGGGTTCCGGTCCCATCAGAGAGGGTCTGTGCCAGATCCCAGTCGCCTAGGCCACCTCTGGGCCACCACTGGGTGGTGTGGGCCCTGAGAGCCAATCCTGATGGTTCAATTCTGCAGCTGCTAAACCACTGCTTATGGTTTGTGGGGGAGAATTCCTGAGAAAAATGTGTGCTGGCCAAGAGGGAGCAGAGGAAACCCTGCCATCTCACAGGAGGGCAGGTCACGATGCCCCAGATTAGGAGGTGGCCCACACTTGACCCCAGAACGAACTGGCGCTGGGGGTGAGAATGAGTCACAGAGCGGGGCACTGCTGAAGAAGCTCTTGCAGGCAGTGAGCAGGCGCCCTGCTGCTGTTGGAGGCCTGAGGTCTCATCCTAGCTGTGCTGCTGGCTGGGTGAGTGACTGTCACAAGTGCCTTTGGTGTCCCGTGTCATGTCCCCTCAGTGCGTCTCTGTGGTTTTGGCTGCTGGGACAGTTCCTTGGGGGTCTGTGTGTTCAGGGACTTCCTCAAGACTCCCCTTCTGTGGCTGGACAGTTCTGGGAGGCTGCTGGGTCCTCCCCGAGGTCCCAGGGAGCAAAACCCTGGTTGCCTGGGGTGAGGACTTCAATAACGCAGCTGATGCTGGCTTCCCTCCCTCTCTCCTCCTCCCGCTCCCTCCTGTTTCCTAGGGTTACGAACAAACCATCCGCATCCAAGTCCTTCTTCCCAGGGGAATCCAAAATAAGACACAGGATTTATCCTCTGGGCTTTAGCCTTCCTGTGCCAGGTGCCTCCTGTGGTGTGGGGGCAGAAAACAGGCAAGACTTGCGGGGCTTAAAGATCCTGTGCATCCATACTCACGACTGTCCACAGGTTGACAAACCTAAAGAACTGCTGAGGTGGTTTCCAGTGGTCACCATGACACCCTTCCAGAAACACTGTGCCCCCCAAATCCCTACCTCCCAGGCACACTGTAGAGGATGAGGAATTAGTGAAGAAATAAAATGGAGTCACCTCAGTCAAGCTGCTGAATTACTGAAATCAAGTGGTTGAGGCATGAGGAAAGGATTCTATTCTTTAAAATAATATTTTATTTATTAAGGTTTATTTTATTCTTTAGAGAGAGGGGAAAGGAGGAAGAAAGAGAGAGAGAGAAACATCAATCAGTTGCCTCTTGTATGGGCCCCAACTGGGGATCAGACCCACAACGCAGGTGTGTGCCCTGACCAGGAATCAAACCAGGGACCTTTGGCTGTGCGGGACAATGCCCAACCAACTGAGCCACACTGGTTAGGGCAAAATGATTTTATTCTTGCTTTAACTAGCCCAGGAACTTAAAGTTTTATATAGATACCCTATTGATAATCCTCTGGTTACCACCCGAAGGACTAAAGGATGTTCATGTGCCCACTGGACAGATATCTAGGTTACCATTTTGAAACAACCCAGAGGCTTAGAATGCAGGACTGGTTCTTCTCAAGAATTCAATCTTTACTGTAGGGACCATTAGCTTTGCACTCTTCAGAACACTCTGTGTATTGCCTAGGCGTGTTTCCAGTTTGCAAACCCTGTGAGCCATGAATAAGCTTTATTTTATTTCTAGCCAAAGCCCCCTGATTTGTTTATGCTGGGTCAATGAGGGCACTCATTTTTGCTCACCGGGAAGCAGAAACGCTATTTTCTTTGGGTTTGCGGAAGTGATAGTTGCAAGAGCAACCACGTGGAGAGAACCTGCTGAAGAAGAAAGCCAACACAAGAAAAAAAACAGGGAGAGAAAAGGAGACAGAGGGAGAAGTCACAGTACCCAGCTTAATCTTGAGGCAGCTGAATCCCTAAACACAGTCGTCTAACTACCTTCGGATTTTCTACTGTCAAAAGTCAATAAATTCCCTCTCTAACTTTAACCCAGCTTGGGGGGAAAATAGCCAAACTCCGTTTGTGACAACATGGATGAAACCGGAAGGACATTATGCTAAGTCAAATAAATCACACATACACCTGGCTGGTGTGACTCAGCAGATTGAGGGCTAGGTTCGGTTCCCAGTCTGGGCACACGTCTAGGCAGCAGGCCAGGTTGCAGGTGGGTGCGCGTGAGAGGCAACTGATCAATGCATATATCTCCCACATATGGAGGTTTCTCTCCCTCCCTTCCCGCTAAAAAATAAATAAAATCTTTTTAAAAAAAACTTAAAGATTTGGGAAGGAGTCTGGGGAAAAGTTTAAAAACTTTAAAAAAATATTTTAATTGATTTATTTTTAGAGAGAGAGAGGAAGGGAAGGAGAGAAGGAAAGAAACATCAATGTGTGGTTGCCTCTTCGGTTTGCAGTCCCGTTGCTAATCCACTGAGCCACGCCAGCCAGGGCCCTGGTTGTAATTCTGTGCTACAGTTTTGCAAGATGTTACTATTAGGGGAAACTGGATAAAGACCACATGGGATCTGTTTCTATAACTTATTTCTTATAACTGCATGTGAATGTTCATATCTTCAAATAAAAACTTTAATTTAAACAAGTTCTTAGAGTATATAATATCGGGGACTACAAGGTATATAACAGGGCTGCCCAGTTCGGCGGGCATGGAAGCCATACGGTCCCGTTGCTCCCGGCTGGGACAGCCCCTTGACACATTTGCAAGACCTATTCTGGGGCTCCCACTGCTCAGCTTGCCTTTTTACTGCCATAGGCAAGAGGTAAAATATTGGGCAAATGAGACCATGTCCTTTTCCCCCACAGTAATCAAAGAAAGCTAAGCTGTTTAATGTATAACTTAATGTATAACCCACTTTCATGAATGTTTGCCAAGGTCATTGCTCCTTCCAAAAGCATCCCATGGTTTCTAAGCAAAAGAGGCCAAGCACAAGAGTATATACTCTAAAATTCGAGACTAGGTAAAATTAACCTGTGGAGATTATAAATGAACAGTGGTAGCTTCCAGTTGGGGAAGGGAATTGACTGGAATGGGGCATGAGAGAAATTTCTAAAGGTGTGCTATCTATCATATATGGTAGCCATTCATCACATGTGGCTGGACCCTAGTCTGAATTGAGGTATCCTGTAAGTGTTAAAAGATTCCACGGGGGAAAAAAAAGCATGTAAAATATCTCACTAGCAATTTTTATAAGGTTGGTTACATGCTGAGATGATACTTTGGCTGCACTAAGTTAAAGAAAATATACCATCAAAATTAATTAAATTAATTAATTAAGAAGTTTCCTACTTCTTACTACTTTTAAAATATGGCTGCTAGAAATGTTTACATTCTCTGTGTGGCTCACATTACATTTCTTTTGAATGGCACTGTTTTGCAGTGGCGGACAAGTTCTGTATCTTGGAGTGCTGAGCAATGGGTGCAGATGTTTGTTAAAGTTCACCAAATTGTACGTCTGAGATTTGTACATTTTACTGTATGTAATTGTACTATAAAGCCCCATATCTTACCACCAACCTAACATAGCCTCCCTAAAGGAGTCTACGGCCTGCAAAAGACACAGAGCACAAAGAGCTCCCAAGTGGTCAGAGTTTCAATAAGGTTTCACCAAGGTACTCGACATTGATGGAAGCTTCCATTTTTAGCAACCAGCATGAAATCGTTGGTTTACGTGTGTTTGTGCGTATGTAGAGAAAGCACGAAGACAATTATTGAGTCCAGTAGACTCAAGAAGACAGAGGACATTTTCAGAAGCCTGAAATACTTGGGATCAGGAGGCATTCATGCTGCCTCCTGAGGCATTCATTCATTCCCTTGGGCCCCTTGGATGGGACTCCCAGGAAAAGCACTCAGGAGTCAGGAGTCAGGGCTGGTTCAGGATACTCGCCCCTTGATGGGATCACTAAGTGACATACAAGGTCTGGATCTTTGTTTTCTAGAGTGAAAACCCTTGATAAATGGCAGGTACCAGCAATCTCTCCCAGAGGACAGAGGAGAATCAGAGTAACACTTCACTTAAGTATGAAGGCTGCACACTTCAGCCACAGCCCTCTCGGGTTCAGGGATCAGGTTCCAAGCCCAGTCTCCTTAGGAATCAGAGAATGTCTACAGAAATGTAGAGTGTGTTTCTCATTGAAGTGGACTATTTCCCAAAGACACCGAGGCCCAGAAAAGCTGCGTGACTTGCCCAGGCCGTACTGAATTAGAAGTGGTAGGGCTCGGGCTTGCATTCACCTGACTCCATGCTAAGAGATGCATGCATGCCAGCCAGGTCTGAAAAACACGTTTAGTCAGTTAGAAACACAACTTGTTTATGTAGGAAGGGAAGGCAATGGGCAAGATGAGTTGCTGGTACCTGTCATTTATTAAAACTTTTCCTAGTAAGGCCAACTCAACAAATGAAATGACATTCAGTGTTTTTGATTTGTGCAGCAAGAATCAGGAAAAAGAAAAAAAGTAGCCCTTAATCCTAGCAGTAAGCATAAGCACAGCACTTCCCACCAACCTTGAGCAGCTCCACCCTGGTCTAGGCGATTGCACAATCCCTCCTCCTCTCCTGACAAGGCTGTTGAGCTGTGGGCCTTGGGGTCACTGCACTGAACTGAAACTCTCCTGGGCACCAGGCCAAGGGTTAAGAATGTTTGTACATGACCTCATTAAATTCTCACTGCAACAAGACATACTGGAAAGGTCAAGTTCAACTTCAGTGCCAAAGCTACCAGCTAGAAGTGGTTCATTGGAACTTGGACCTGTCTGGCTCTAAAGTTTCTGTCTGCAGACTGAATAGGTAAAATAATCTCGGGGAGCTGAGGAGGGCTTCATACCCAGATTCAAGAGTTCAAGTGTAAGCAAGGTTTCATACAAGTCTGTAGGCTTCATACTTCAAACTCAGTACAGTCCTATCACTGACGGGTGCCAGCCTCCTGAGGACACCTCTCCTAAGCCTATTTCTACAAAGCAGATTTTCTCCTGCTTTGTTGACATCCATGGTGTAGCAGTGCCCTTTCTGCCTTAAGTCAGCAAGTCTTTGGACTTCCCCACAGATGCTTTTGAAGGCAAAGAACTCTGTGAAACAAGTTTGTATCCACCACTGCACCCTCCACAGTAGATTGTACACCTACTTGGTGCAAGGCAGGAAAGGATAACTAAAACCAGGTGTACCATTCACTGACTGCAATGGCCAAGTTTATAGTTCATTTTCTATCGTTCCATTCAGAGTGCAGGACCCCCTTGTATAAGGGATACCATTATCCCTATCCCTTGCATAGGGATAGCATTACCAAATCACTTGTCAATCATCCTTGGGGAATTATGAGAAGAGTCGACCTTGTGTAATCACTATGGTTCCCATCCAAAACACTTCCTGGTTTAATACAATCCCCTCAAGTAGGGGTAGCATTGCATAGTTTCTGATAATGGCCCCTCTAATTACAGCTATCCCCTTGGCAAGCAGCCCATGAAGGCCACTTACTCTCTGCCCCAACCATTGGCACCAAGTCCCTGGAGCCCCGGCTCTGAGTATCATACCTGGTTCTGAGAGGCTTGATCACTGCTCCCTCCAACTTCCCCAGCTCCGAGTGCCCCCAACTCCCCCAGCGAGTGCTTTCCAGCCTTTTTCACCTCCCAGCACACATACACTAATTCCTGAAATTCTGCGGCATCCCTCCCAAAAATCTTTTTTGCCAATCTGACAAAAAAATTGGTATACTTTTGATTCATTGGACAGCTATTGTTGCTTCAGCTGCTGTCATTTTGCTAGTTGACGATCTAAGGGGGAAAAGGGGGTCAGTGCCCCTCACTGAATAGTCAGGTATTGCATCTTTTAAAAATTCTTGCAGCACACCGGCTGGAAATTACTGCCCCAGATGGATGCAACCAGGCCCCCAGTTAGAGATCTGGAGAAGCCTGTTCACCTCCAGTTCATCAAGGCATCAGTGTTGAATTGCTCCTTCCGAGACCCTCTGAAGCCCCAGCAGAGTAGGGGCTTCCTTGGGAAAGGGGGTGATATGGTGGCAAGGGGAAGTTGCTGGTGGTTCGGGAGATCTGGAGAGCAATGGAGAGCTTCTTATTTCATTCTGGGGAAAAGGGCTCTGGACGGCCCTGACTTTGATGGAGATAGGAGTGTCCAGAAGATCCAAGGACTAGACTTGTGGCTAGGCCAAGACTACTATCTCCGCAACTGGCCAGGAGAGAAAAGCAAGTGCAAGAAAGAGACTACCGAGAAGGGGATCCTCTCCCACTTTCAAATCAGTTGGAATCCCTACACAGACATCATCAGAAGGTTGTCAGGGCTCAACCCTAACCCAAAGGAAAGACTGAGAAGAGCATGCCTTTGTCAAGTAGGTAGCATTAGTGACAAACTCACCATGCTTAAGTTATGAGCCAGGGTTATACAAATTGGTAGAGTGCCAGGGTTGTAACTCAAGAGGAACCTTGATTTTTTCTAACAAGTAAAATTGGAAATCTGATAACTAACTGGCTTGGGTATTGGGCTGTAGGGGACCAGGTCAAAGAGCAAAGGACAGAAGTCCAGGAATGTGCACATTGCTTGACTTGGAACACTGAGTCACGGTCACCTGGATTTATGTTTTTGCCTACTAATCTGCAAATCCACGGAGGACTGGGTCCACCGGCGTCCATAGCCCCAGCACCCAGATGGCTTTAGGGATGTCTGTTGACTGATTGAGACTCCTGAGGGTTTCTGGATGGGAAAGTGGGAGTGGCAGGGATGGGGAGGAATTAGGTCAAAAGATTTCAAAATCTTCTCTCTCTGGACAAATAGGTTTTTTCACGACATGGAATTTCTCTGAGGCGTGGTGCCCTTACCCTGAAATGGCAGGCCAGTTGTGGGAGAGTGACCTGTTTGGTTCACACAAACAAAAAGTCAAAGGTCAGAAATGTTGCTGGGTATCCAGAGATGGCCTAATTTAGCATCACAAAACTTGTACACTTTGGTGGGTAACTGTCCTTAGAGCCTTCTCAGTATAAAAGGGCGCCCAGGGGCCCAGTGGTGGGGCCTGGAGGGTAAGGGGGCGCACAATGGTCGAGCTTGCCTAGAGAGGCACTGGGCAGTTGTGAGGGACCACGCTGGGAGACAGCCCTGCTCCCTGTACCAGAATCCCAGCTACTGACCAGGCTCGAGTCTGCATGTGCCCAGAAAATTAGGTAGAGTGACCTCGAAGCAAGTTCAGAACATTGTGATCTTGGAATTTTAGCCAAAAGAGGAGATTATAGCTCCCTCCAATCCCCACCGCCCAAATTTTTATTATTTTTTTAAACCAACTATCTCTCTCAGCTAAGAAGCCTCTTTGGATGTCTCCTCCCTCTCCCATGCCCAGGCCCATGCTCTGAGATCTGGTGTCCAAAACTGTGTGCTGACCCCAGACTGAGCACCTGGTGCAGCTGTGTGGCAGGGCAGGTTCGGTGGTGTCCAGGTTTCCCAGGTGCTGAAGGTAAACACCATCAGTGGACACAACAGTGGGAGCCCAGCTCTGCTAAGCGACACTCTTCCCCAGGAGCAATCTGACGGGCAGGCAGCGTTATTCCCGCTACGCTGCTGCAGAGGCTGCAGAGCACCCTCCGCCTTCCAGCCCCTGCCCCATCCTTTGCACGGAAGACAAAGGGAAATAGTCCCAGTAAGTTGCACGGCTCAAAAGCGGTGTTTGTCAGTAGGTAATGAGGAGAGGGGAGACTGCTGAGTTTAGTGGCCGGGATGGGCAAGTCCGGGCTGAAAATCCCCAAGTTTATCCCCGAAGGGGGTCCAGCTCAGAGGCAGTGCCCTGGGGCCAGAGCCAAGGCCTTGCTCCTGCCTTTCTCCCTCTTGCTAGACCGGGAAAGGCCCACGCTCCTGGCGCTCTGCGTGCCTACGAACTTGAGAATCTAAAGTGTTGCATCAGAGCCCGGAAGCAGTGCAGGGTCACTGCCAGCCACCAGCCAAGTCTCAATCTGCAACAATTAGGCCATTATTTACTATTGACTGTGTGCTAGGTGCGGAGTACCTACTCCCCCAGTGCCATCCAGAGGTGCAGCAGCTGCAGGCCTCCCAGCCGGAGTGGGATCGGGCCCCAACGAAGTCCTGTAGGAACCACCCCCCACCCCCCACTTCTGGAGACTGGCCGGGCCCCTCTCTTCCCCGGGCCCCGTACCTGAGGGGACGGACGCCCCGAAACCTTGCTTCCTGCCAACCCCGAGAGAGGGCAGTGCGCGTCCCTGGCACCCCGCCAGGGCCAGCGCACAGTCTCCAGAGGCGCAGCATCCCGACGGAGACAGCCATGGCTCACTACGCCAGTGTCCGGGCCGAGAAAACTTTTAAAGAGAGCCAAGGGGGGTGGAGAGCGTGAAGCGCGGGGCGGGCAGGGGCGGTTTGGGGCGGGGCAGGGCGGGGCAAAAGCCTTCCTCTGCTACCCGCGGCCATCCCCCTCCCACCCTCAAAGGATTACCCTGATTTCCCTCTGGATTCGAGAGCCCCTGGCTGCAGCCAGAGGCGAGTTCCTCTCCCAACCAACAGGGACCTGGGTTTGGGGGTTCATGATCGTGTTGAATTCTGTAGAGGGGAGCCGGTAGAGCCTGAATGCGGGGGCCGTGGTGAGGCACCCCTTCATGAGACCGAGACCAGTTGGCGAGTGGGTCACGTGCTGTCACCTCTCCAACCAACGCCACCCCGCCCCCAGAATTGGGCTCCTAAGGCCTGCCAACTGAATCAGAGAGCAGAGAAGGGGTGGGGATGGAAGGGCGCTGGGACAACAGCAGAGGCCCCACGTGAGTTTCGGAAGGGAGGCCAGTTGGTGTTCCCATCTCCCGTGGGGCAGCCTGCCATCCCTCTCCCTGGGCCTCTGCCTTCATCCTCCCACCTGCGCAGGCAGGTGGTCTCAGGGCGCACTGCAATCTTTGCTTCTCCATCTCTCCTCTGCCGGTGCCGGCACAGTCTGTGAGCTGCCGCAGGTACAAATGGAAGGCGACTCACTCTGACTCCAGACCCCGTTTATGGTCCTCTGAGCTGAGGTGTGGCTGCAGGATGGGCAGGTGACTGCCCATCTCTGGTCCTGGCTGGAAAAGGTGGCACTGGGGCACCAGAGTGGCACATGTGTGTGCCAGGTCCACACTGTCTGGGGGGGGTCTTGGCCCTTCCCCCAGAAGGGGGAGGGAGAGCAATAGGAGAAAGGCCTGGCAGGATGACCTCTCTTTTCATGACCCAGAGGTGGTGATGAAAGTTGGGCCAGACGGAAGGGACAGCTCAGGGTGGGATCTGGCCTGAGAAGACCTCAGTCCTTGTCGGGGAACTTTGGCTCAAATGGGAAGGAGACTATGCTGCTCATCCTCATGACTCTGGGAGTGACCTCACTGCATCTGATAGCCCAGCCCAGGTACATGATGTGAGGGCAACTACCCCGAGTCTGAGGTATCACCTGTCTGGCAGTCTCTGACACTGGCTTGCTGGGTGACCCTGGTAAGTTACGGCCCCTCTCTGGGCTTGTGAAGTAAGGAGTAGATACTCATCTTGCAGGCCCTTCCACTTACCTTGCTGGTTTGAGGCCCATTCTTGGGGAACGAGGGGAATGAGTTCATCCTTGAACTTTGCTGCAGAGTTGGCTCCCCACGTACTGGATTTGTTCTGCCTTCCCAGACATGCACACGTGGAATCACAGCCATCAGTTTCAGGATACTTCCCACAAGTCAGACTCCTCAAGGATGTTATGTCTGGCCCACACAATCACCCTGCAAGTGTTGGGAACCACCCTGCCTGGTTTCAATCACCCCCCGCATGGCTAAGGCTGAGTGAGCTACCTTTGGACCATCAGCCACTAAGGAGACAAAGCTTATCCCCCTGGCAGGAGCAACGCTTCTGCTCCTTTTTCCATAACTGGCCCTAGTGCTTGATCAGTTAGCCAATGACGGGTAAGATTCCCCAAGAGGGGAACCACCTAAGGCAGGCATAATCATGTGGAGGTCCCAGGGAAGGACTTGGGGGGCTATGGAGAAGGGGGTGATGGACCCTCACCCCCCAGCTTTGTCAAAGCCTGAATCCTCTGTCTGTGAGAAGTCTTCGAGAATTCCTTGGCTATCTGCCTCCCCTGCCTGACTTAAGCCTGAAACAGTGACAGAGGGCAGTGTAGCCCTGTGCTGGGAATGCGGGCTCCCCGAGTGATCAGGCCTGAGAAAGGATATGTAAAATCCTGTGAAGCCTGCTTTGCTAAGAATGCTCTTAGTTGAATGATAAAGGCCCGGGCAGAAAATGAGTTTGTTTTCCCAAAGTTTTGTAGCCTTTTAGCTGATAGACCCTGACTCAGAAGAAGCCCTAATAGTTCTTTGTGTACTATCTACTGTTTACTGCCTGACAATGATTAATAAGTTGTACCTGAACTCCTGTGCAAAAAAAAAAACAACAGTAAAAGCCTTTCTGGGCAAGGGTCAGGGCACTCTCCCCTTGAGAGGGTAGCCAGGGCATTCTGAGGCTGTCCCTTTTCCTCCACAGGACTTGGTAGTCCATGTGAATTTATCTTGATTTTCCATTCATGACGCCAAGGGCCCTGCAGGCCAGTGCACGCATCATGCAAGGACTAGGCATGCCTTGGAATGTGTATGTGTTTTAATGGGTGAAGAAACTGAGACTCAGAGAGGTTCAGCTACTTGATCAAGGCCAAAGTGAGCACAGTGAGCACATGTCAAGGCTCTGCCCATCCTCGCTTTGTGGCTTTGAGGAAGTCCTGGAGCCTCTCCAGCCTTCGTTGTCATCTATCTTTAAGACACGGGTAATAGTGTTAGCCTCGTGCAGAGGGTTGGGGTACAGTACTGGTGGTACTCGGCCAGTTTTCAGTGATTGTTAGTTTCTTCCGCCATCCTCTCCTTCTTTCTGTATCTACACTTTGAGTCATTCCTTTGTGTTAGGTGTTGCAAACCCTTTTTTAGGAGCAGAAATGATTTTTCATCTCTGCAAAGCTGTGAGAGTCCTAGTAGACATGGGTCCATGGGAGGGGAAGTCTGGGAGAAAGGATAGTGAAGATGCGTTAAGTCCCTGAGTCTTGGTTTTAGATGTTGAACAGAATTCTCAGGTTACTTCGAAGGCATGGGAAACAGGGCACGTGGGCCATCCAGGTCCTTCAACTTTCTCCCTTATCCTTCAACCAAATCCATTTCTCATAGCTCCCCAGGGTGCTTTCTGCCTGAACCCAGTACATTTGCTGTGCGCTGGGCAGGACTCACACAGTTCATGGTCCCTGTGGTTTTATGAGAAACATCAATTGTTGCCTCTCGCACATGCCCTAATGGGGACCGAACCCACAGCCCAGGCACGTGCCCTGACTGGGAATCACACCTGCTGTAGGGAACCACTTCATGGGACATGGAAGTGTAGCTCAACACCTATGTGGAAAACCAGTGGGGGGTGAGTCAGCACACAGGACCACACCTGTAGAGAAGTTCTCCCATGGGAAATCAGGCCTGCATTATACCTAGGCTGCTTTGTGACTTGCTCTTGCTAAAACTCTCTCACCCTGAGTTCAGGCAGAAATCACTTACTGTATATCTTCAAAGTAACTTCCTGAATTCTGTGCTAATTCTCCCAAGGATTGAAGTGTAACCAGACCTGCTACTCTTGTCCCCTTGCATTTGCAACATTTTTCAATGGACTGAATTTAGGAGTTTGGGTCATGGCAGCGCTCCGGTTCCTCCTTGTCTTAATCCTCAGTTGTGCTTTATAATAATGTATATGGAAGTTGTTTTCTTGTGATTGCATCCAGGAACAGCAAATAGGAGGTTTCACAGGCTTGACAGCTACAATTGACTTCAAAAACAAAAAGGGGGGGAGATGTTGAGAACTGCCCTGCCTGGTTTCAGAAGCTGTAACTCCCCCATGGCTAAGGCTGAGTGAGCAACCTTCAGACCATAAGCCACTAAGGAGACAGAGCTTCTTTCTCTGTCCGGAGCTCCGCTTCTGCTCCTTTTGCTTCACCCTGCTTAGCTCCCCGATGCTCAATGGGTTAGCCAATGACAAGTAAGATTCCCCAGGGGGACACGACCTAAGACAGGCATGATCACGTGGAGGCCCCAGGGAAGGACTTGGGGGCTACAGCAAAAGGGGGTGATGGACCCTTGCCCCTCGGCTTTGACACAGCCTCAGTCCTCAATTCCATCTGCAAGAAATCTCCTAATCTCTTGGCTGCCTTACTTCCCCGACCTGACTTAAGCCTGAAACAATACCAGAGGGCAGTGCAGCCCTGTGCTGGATAGGACGGGCTCCACAGGAGATCAGGCCTGAGAAAGAATACATAAAATCCTGTGAAACCTGCTTTGCTAAGAATGCTCTCAATTAAATGATAAGGGTCTGAGCAGGCAATGAGTTTGTTCCTGTAGTTTTATAGCCCTTTAGCTAACAGACCGTGACTCAGAATAGGCCCTTGTAGTTCTCCGTACATTATCTACTGTTTGACCCTTACTGCCTGATAATGATTAATGAATTTTACCTTCATTTCTGCGTGAATTAAACCCAATAAAAACCTGTCAAGGCAAGGGTCAGGGCGCTCCCCCCTTGAGGGAGTAGCCATGCTGTCCCTTTTCCTCCACAGGACCGGGTAGTCCGTGTGAATGTCTTGTTTCTCATCCATAACACCATGGGCACTGTGGGCCGGTGTCTGCATCAACCTGCGACTCTCTAGTCCCTGGGATGACGCTCCCACCACCTGAGCCACGTTGGCCAGGGCTGATTTTTTAAAAAATTCTTATGATCAACCTATGAAAAAAGTCCAGACAACTACCTTGTACAACAGTTAGGAAACTGTAAGTGCTAGGAACCTGGAAGTCACACCTGACTGCAGTTGAGAGCTAAGGGGCAGGAGGTGGGGAGTGGAGACAAACATCCTGACCTTATAGATCAAGGGGCCAAGAACTCTTGTCTACCAAGGATGGAACATGAGATAAAGGAGTATGTTGTTCAAAGTTACAAAGGCAACCAGTGTATATAGAAAGTAACAAGAAAACTGTTTAGGAGGAGTCGGGGAGATGAAAGTGCAAATCTTTACCTATCAAACAGAAAAACCAAGAAATGGCTGAAGAGGTATATTGTTTCGAAGTAAATATCAAACAAAGATAAAACAGAAATGTCTAAAATAGTTCAAAATGATTCCCTCTGGACTTGAACAGACATTTATCTAAAGAAGATATACAAATGGCCAGTGAGCACATGAAAAGATGCTCAACATCACTGGTCACTAGGGAAATGCAAATCCAAACTGCAGATACCAGCGCACACCCACTAGGCTGGCTCTTCAGAAGGGCAGAGAACAACAAATGGGGGTGAGGGTGTGGAGGA